ATGTATAATGAGTAATTATTTTGTGGAGAATGAAATTTTAAGTACTTGATGCATATCTCATTTTTATTATTCTTTAAAACAAAACAGATGTAGAGACTTAAGACACTTCATAGGACTCTGTAGCTGTTAAAGGAGCTGGAATTTGAAGCCACACTTTTTGAATATGGCTTTCAACTTCTTAGCTAATCCTCAGAACTTCTACTATAAGCTAATGTGGCATGTCACTATTTTGTGGATGATAAAACTCTGTATATGCACTCAATCACTGCTTGTCGAATGAATATTTAAGACATACACAAATAACTAAGTGAGCTTATTAACAGACCAATTTTAGTGGCATATCACATGATTGATATTTTCTCAATAAAAATGTGATATTTTAAAAAAATTTCCCATGCTGCATGACATTTTTAGAATATCTTGAAAAATATTAATTAATATACTTAATTTTATCATTCAGTTGTGATGGGGAAAAAATAGCTGAGTTGCATGGAGCCAGGCAATCTTTTATTTACACGATTGGTAGCAACTTTATTTTGAATAATAATGCCAAATGTCAGTAGGATTTATCTTTTTTAAGTTAAAAATAGAAATAAAACACAGCTTAATAGAAGTATATACAGACAAGCTCATAACATGGGATGATTTATTATTTTATTTCCTATCTAGACATGATATATGGGCTTCCCTGGTGGCTCAGATGCTAAAGAATCCATCTACGATGAGGGAGACCAGGGTTCGATCCGTGGGATGGGAAAATCCCCTGGAGGAGGGCATGGCAACCCACTCCTGGCAACCCACTCCAGTATTCTTGCCTGGAGAATTCCCATGGACAAAGGATCCTGGCGGCCTGCAGTCCATGGGGTCATAAAAGAGTAGGACTTGACTGAGCGACTAAACAACAACATTGTTAGTTAATAAATAATGATATGATCAAGAGAGCTGAAATTGCCAGATTTCATTTGTCTTCTCAATGGAGATGCCTGATACTGTCTTTCTGGGCTCTTTTCTGAGACTTAAGAGACTAGAAAGATAACCTCAGCTTTCTTATTGTATGTGTGTCTATGCAGGTATACAGAAGTGCATATGCATGATTTTGGACCTTCTTAATCACAGGGGGAGGCGGAAAGGACACTGTAACTGTTTAGAAGATTTGTGTTATCATTCACAGTTCCTTAGCTAAAAAAACTTTTTCCAAGTATAAAAGAAGTTCCTTTTATACTTTATGTATGTGCTATGTGCTATGCTTAGTTGCTCAGCCATGTCCAACTCTTTGTGACCCCATGGACTATAGCCCGCCAGGCTCCTCTGTCCACGGAGATTCTCCGGGCAAGAATACTGGAGTGGGTTGCTATGCCCTTCTCCAGGGGATCTTCCCAACCCAGGGATCGAACCAAGCACTCCCATATTGCATGCAGATTCTTTACTGTCTGAGCCATCAATGAATGAGTAAAAAAACAGACTAAATAAAATAGTTTTTAAAAAATTATCCAATTAAAGGAAACAAAGTTCTGATGAAATGTTCACTTACATCTAAATCCCAGTGTTAAGAAGTAGAGACCTCTAGTCATTCTCAAGGCATTAAAATTGTTATATATTGAATAGTTTTAAGATTGTATAGAGGGCTTCCCCGGCAGCTCAGTGGTGAAGAATCTGCCAGCAATGCAGGAGACCCAGGTTGGGTCCCTGGGTCAGAAAGATCCCTTGGAGGAGGGCATGGCAACCCACTCCAGTATTCTTGCCTGGAGAATCCCATGGACAGAGGAGCCTGGCGGGCTACAGTCCATATGATCACAAAGAGTTGGACATGACTGAAGCAACTTAGCAGGCACGCCTGCAAGACTGTATAGAAGCAAACATAATAAAATATCAAATGACATTAAAATTGTTTTGGACTTCTGCCTCTGGCCTAGACTGGATTTAACTTTTTGGCTAAAAATTAAAAAAAAATCAACAAAATGTATGAAACAGTGCTTTTTAAAAGACACTGGACACTGGGTAATTAAAATCAGTCATCTCTGAGAAACTAGAAACAAATGAGAACAAATGAGGTGAGCCCTACAGTTACCCCAGCTTACTCTATGAATAGAGTTCCAAGCCATGACAAAGGACAAAGGCAGAAAACCATGGGGTCTTCTTTAGATGAGGAGATGGAGCTGGGTATCAAAAGAAACCAAAGTGGCTAGAGTCACAGAGCAGAGCATCAGAGAGGGACAGATATACAGAGAATAAACATCGGAGATCTGCAGACAGCACCCTTCCAGTTTCCAGTTAAATCCTAACCATTTCCCATATGAAAGTGAAAGTGAAAGTCGCTTAGTTGTGTCCAACTCTTTGTGACCCCATGGACTATACAGTCCATGGAATTCTCTAAGCCGGAATACTTCAGTGGGTAGACTTTCCCTTCTCCAGGGGATCTTTCCAAACCAGGGATTGAATCCAGGTCTCCTGCATTGCAGGCAGATTCTTTACCAGCTGAGGCACAAGGGAAGCCCAAGAATACTGGAGAAGGTAGCCTATCCCTTCTCCAGGAGATCTTCTGGACCCAGGAATCAAACTGGTGTCTCCTGCATTGCAGGTGGATTCTTTACCAATTGAGCTACCAAGGAAGCCCTACAACAAGAACCTACCAATGTCAAGGGAAAGAACTATACATAATAATTAAAGCAAACAATCACCAGAGCTCACATATGGCTGGGAGAGTGCCCGTTCCTGCCAGACACAGTGGAAAACATTATACAAGAACATCAGAGCGAGAATTCAGATGGGTTTTGCCTCAGTAGTGGGGAAAATTTAGCCCTAGATTTTAGGTTGTTCTGCTCAAAACTCAAAGTATACAAGTAATACACTCCAAAGATCAAAGTATTTCCAAGCAAACATAACTATGTTTCAGTACAAAGGTCAACAATATTTATCTGCACAAATGTATCAAGCACTCAACAAGTTAAAATTCACATCTGGTATTCAATCAAAAATTACCAGTCATCCAAAGAAGCAGGAAAATAACACTCATAGAAAGGAGATAAAATAAATGGAATTGACCCAAAATAGACAGAGATGATAGTACTGGTAGACAAGAAACATTATAACTGTTATTGTAACTGTATTCCATACTTTCCAGAAGGTAAAGATTGAATGTTGAGGTCTGTTAAGATATTAACATGGAAATTGTTAAAATTCTCAAATCACACTTCAGCAATGTATTGAATCACACAAGACAACAATGTCTGAGGTTAAAATTATACACTAGATGAGATAAACCACAGCCTAGATAAGCTAAAATAATAGATTGGTCCATTTGACAATAGGAATTATTTCAAATGAATTACAGAGAAAATAAGACTGAAAATAAAAAGAGCAGAACATCAGTGAGTGGCCTAATATATGTTATCAGAGTCCCTGGAAAGGGCAAGGAGCAGGAAAATATTATTTTTAAGTAACACCTTTAAAATTTCTAAATTTGATTGAAACTATGAACACACAGATCCAAGAAGCTTAACAGACCACACAGATAAGAAGCATGAAGAAAACTATACCCAGGAATATCATAAACCAATTGCCCAATTCCCAAGAACACTCCCTAATAAACCTTCTGCATCTATTGCTGAGTGAGATGACAAGCTGAAATACAATATCCATATCAAAACAACAACTCTCTGTGGAGTAGAAGGTGGGTATATATTTACCTACAATACACCTCTACACTTTCATTTTTTATAATGAATATATATTATTTTTATAACAAAACAGATTAATATGTATAACTACCTTGTGATGGACATCTTTCAAAATAGCAAGAGGTTTATAAATCTCCCCAAGAATATCTTATATTTCTTTCTTTAAGTCAGAGACCTGGTGATGGTACACTGGCTCAAAATTCACTTTAGTGCTATTAAAAATATATTTTCTGTATGATGTCAGATTAGAAATCGATGAATTTTCTCTATCTGTAATGGTAATGCTGATGAGTATAAAGATTTGATTGATATACACATAATTACACAAAATTTGACAATATGCATTTTCTACATTTACATAGCTTATACATATATAGGGGTGTATAAATGGTTACTTTCTTAATATCAGAAGGCATCTTTTCTATGCAAAAAATAGTTGAAAATGGAGAATTGTTAAGTTGAAAATGATATTACTTTTATGAAACCAGCATTTTGAAATGCCTAGACTATTTAATGTATTACCCTTTTCCTTGCTTTCATCTGTCTTAATCAATATTTTCTGGCATTCAAAAACTGGCCACAGTTCAAATCTCCTTGACTGAAAATTCCTACCTGAACAATTTGAACTAAAAAATATTGCAAAAGTACTTAAGATTTGGTGTAGTGAACCCAGTATTTCTTATACTAAAGCCATATACTTTATAACCTAAATTATAACCTCCACAATCCACTTTATCTGCATAATCAAAAGACACAGCCAGTTGAAATTAAACTGTACGATGTTATAATCCATATGTTGCATTTCCATTAACAAAACCCATAAAACAGTCAATAAGCACTGCCAATTAACTCTGTATTGTTTTGGCCTCTGGCCTATCTCAGAAGGCATTCTGTCAATAGAATATATAGAAATATTGCTACAACACCACAGACTGTCTTTAGGGAAACAGAAATGTAATTTTGTAATGATGAATATTTCTAGTGACTACATTATTGTTAAGTATACCACAAGTTCTCCTCCTGGACAAAATCCAACATACGGCAAAAACACACACTGCCCTAAAGCCACAGGACACCCTGCTGTAAGATGCTTCTCTGAATCCAAGATTCAATTACACTTTGCAGTTCATCAGATAAACCGCTTATGTCTAGACTCTCATCCTGACACAAAACGTTCCAAAATGATCATCATGACAAGTTCTAGCATGCGCGGTGCTGACAATTTCCATCATCCTTCACAACCTGAACTTAAAGAAGTTAAGCAGTTGTGATATTGTGGTGGAGATAAAAACAGTGTGAAAAAAAGAGATTTCATAAACTTACCTTAAGATACCATTTATATTTGGCATGTTCCCAGTTCTCAGGAATTTGTGTCTTTTTAAGAAAGTGTTCAGCTTCTGTTAGCCATTGATTAAATATCTTCATATCATAATGAAACCGCCGCCATTTTTCAACAGATCTGTCAAATTGCCTAGAAATAAAAAATAGGGATCAAGAAAAATAAATGGATTATATGGACACAGAATATATGTTATTACACTAATAAAGATATTATTTTGATAGTTTCTCACATTTCTATATGTCAGTTTCAGTTAACATAAATAATACTGAATTAAAATATTTGATAAAAGGCTGTCATGTCCCTTTAAAATGAATACACTTTGTGACTGAGACAAAAATAGAGACAATTATTATGGAATATTAGTGTTTTCTTCCCTATGAGAATACTTAATTTTTAATAAAACTTCAGAAATTTAAAAGTACATTAATATCTAATAAATTATTTTGAAACTAGATACTAAATTTCAAAAGATTTTTTGGATCAAAAATTAGCTCATAAAGTCTGTCAATTTCAGTCATATCTTGAACTAAAAGTGTCTGCTCATTAAGATCTTCAAGCATTCAGGATGACAGCTGTAATCTCTACACTGGCTTAGATGTAAGAAATCCACCAGTTAACTGGTATACTAGTCTTTCTTTCTCCTTCTAGTTCCACTGTATCCACTAGCATTTTAAATTGTAATGCTGAAGGAATTTTGTGAAAGGTAATGTATCAACATCTCAAAACACCCAGCAGAAAAAAAAAAAAAAAAAACATCTCACAAGAAAAGAATATTGAGAAGGAAATATTTGGTCATTTCTGGTCACAGAAGAGACTGAACCAGAAATTATATGAGTCAAGGCTTTGTTTACTCTGAGAGACTTGCACATAAAAATCACATAGGGAATTATAAAATAAAAAATAGCAATAAAACACTGATTTTGGGTCCCCAATCTAGACCAATTACACCAGTATCTTTGGAGGTGGGATCCTGACATTGGTATTTTTAAAAGCACCCAGGTGATTCTAATGTACTGTCAAGTTGAAAAATACTATACAGTGCAAGTTTTAAAGTCTTATGGGGCTCATGATCTACTGGGTCTGCCAGAGCCTGTCCAAACGGGCATTTGCCAGCATGAAACAAAAGCCATCCTGAAAGTTCCTGCCTAATGAGTGACCTCACAGTACAGCTGTCTGTACAGTTCTCAGATCTATTCTTAAGATGCAATGGATTAGTTTTGAATATCTTGAGGGTCTTCTCAGATCTCTACCTCCCCTTAGGAAATTTAAGTAATTTTCGAATCCAAATAATGTCCCAATTCCCTATTGTTTTACTAGGAAAGGAATGGAATTCACATTATAAACCAAGCACTGGGGTCTGTGGATTTACATATCCCATTCCATTACTCTTGCAACACCCTCTGCAACATAACGATTATTACTCCCAGTTTTCACTGGAGAGAGGTGAGATGCTGAGTAAGTTACCAAAAGGTAAATAGGTATTAAATGGCAGACCTGGAATTCTAACTCGGATCTCTCTGGTTCCAGTGGTGTCTTTTAGCACCTTACATTAAATTTTCTGGATTTCCTTTTTTTCAAGATGAATTTTCACCAAATTAAACAATCAAAGTGATAGTTGTAAGGCTTTTATTTTCTATTTTTCTTATTTTCTTCCTATATTTAATTATATATCTACATGTGCTCTATCATGCATTCTTTCAGGTATTACATTTAATGATTAACTGTATTTTCACCTTAAAAATATCTAAAACAGTATTTTGGTAGCATAAAAAGGCAGTTAATGATAGCCAAAAGAGATATTCTCTATCACTAGCTTATAAAGAATGGAGATGCAGACATAGAGAACAGACTTATGGACAAGGCAGGTGGGGAGGAAGGAGAGAGTGGGACAAATGGGGAACATATACACTACCATACGTAAAAGAGACAGCCAATGGGAATTTGCTATATGACTCAGGGAACTTAAACCTGGGCTCTGTAACAACTTAGGGGGGTGGGAAAGGGTGGGAGGTGGCAGGGAAGTTCAAGAGGGAGGGGACATATGTACACCTATGGCTGATTCCTGTTGATGGATGGCAGAAACTGATGCAATATTACAAAGCAATCATCCTTCCAGTAAAAATAAATGTATCAAATAATTACATCTTTAATAAATAATGGTATTTTATAGTTGATCAAATGTTTTCTATCCATCAGCCACAAAATGATCTTGGGAATGTTTGCATGGTTAATAATAATTTTGTTTTCATATATTTTCAGTGCTAATACCCAAAACACGACTTAAGAATTCATCTGAAGAATGTATTCCCTATAAAAAAGAATTGTACATTGCGTATGTCTTAACGGGAACTTGAATCACTGGAGTCAGAGAGCTGTTAAATGAGAATCTAAAATACAGTGAGTCATAGTTGGCATTGCATTATCTTGGTGAGGCTGTAGTTGATTTTAATTTTTATTATATATATACATATATTTTAATATTGTTAAGTTTTCCTGCAATGCACACTTCAAACTTTGAATATTCAGAAAAATACAATAAGTAAAATTTATTTTAAATTGAAAGTACAGGTGATTTACAATATCATATCAGTTTCAGGTATATACTAGTGATTCAATAGTTTTGTAGACTATTCTCCATTTAAAGTTATGGCCATCTTTTAAATAATGGCTGTATTCCCTATGCTGTACACTCTATCCTTGTTGTTTATTTATGTTATACATAGTCGTTTATGTCTCAATGCCATACCCTTATTTTCCCCTCCCCCTTGGTCTCCCCACTGGTAACCACTAGTATATTCTTTGAATCTGTAATTCTGTTTCTATTTTTTTAATATACATTCTTTGCTTTTAAGTTTTTAGATTCCACACATGAGAGAGAACATAGAGTGCTAACATAGATAACATCTTTCTCTGTGTGACTTACTTCACTAAGCATAATACTTTTTAAAAGGCAATCTCACATGCTAACAACTGCCATCTCCATCTTTATACACTATAGTTTGAGAACCAGAGCGAGGCTAACCAGACCACAGAGGAGTTGTCATTTGGTCATTTTCTACCTCTGTAACAGTCATCAGTCCGCTTCTTACTTTGCTTTTTTCTATTACCCAACCACCAGATTTACCCTCTTGCCAATGCTTTTATTTACTGGAAGGTGATTATTTCTTCAACATCTGGGCTATAAATACTCCTCCTTCTAGGCTGCCGCAGATGTGTCCCTCCACCACTCACTGCACTGGCAGTGACCATCTTCCAGAAGATTCCACAAAGTCTCCTCCCATCCAACCCCTCTGCCTCTTCACAGTTTATCTATCATCTAGTTTCTCCAAGAGAAGAAAACCATCAGGGCCCACACAGTTGATCATGGTACCTCTTAGGGCTGCAAGACAAAAGTTGGAGATACGGACAGAAGGGAAACACTCAGGCTTCTCTACTTACATTTGTGTTTCAGGTCCACAAAAGTGGGGCAGGATGAAGTTGCCAGCCACCAAGGACTCTCTGCAGTCTCCCCTTCCCCCCATGCCCTACTGTCTCAGGATTTCGTGACTGTGTACATTATTCCAGTATTCCTGAAATGCCCTCTTTCCCTTTACTCCATTTTCACTCAACTCCTGCAAGCTGAATCTTTGCATACTTAAAGACTTCACATGAACCATTAGGTTGGCCACAAGGGTATCCGGGTTTTTCCTGAACATCGTTCAGAAATATCCAAATGAACTTTTTGGCCACAGTGATACTTATACTGTAACTTTGTAAATATCTGAATATAGAGCATTCAATAGTCTGCAACTGCTAAAAATTTGAAAACAGTAAAGTTGATTTAATTTTATTATTAAAATTAATGTTAAAGTTAGTAACTCTATTCAAACAAAATATTAAAGAATAAAAGCATGCACTTTACATGTGATGACATTTAATGTGAGTAATAATATTTTAAATTCCGTTTCAAGCATCACATAAAAATTTTAAACATACTTTCTAGCATTTTAACATGTGTTGTTAACAGCCAAGTGTAAATCTATTCTTGAATTTACTGTTCAAAATTTCATTTTTTATCATGCCTACTTATAAAATTAAACTCTTTCCCATTAAGGAGCATCCTGAATGAACAGATATAAATTTTGCTAGTTTTACAATGCTACATTTATTAATTTAATCTCTAGTCACTCACTATACTCTCTAAATTTCTCTCATTCCATTAACTGGACATCCATGACTGAAGGAAAATGCAGCGACAACAGGAAACACATAAAGATATTACAAACAGCATTCAAGGAAATAAGTGTAAGTTCTACTCTCTGTATTATTACTAGAGGGGGGAAAAAGGTTGTTGCATTTTTTCTTCCTAACAGCAAGAGGAAATGTAGACCTGCCTAAATAAAGGACAAAAAATGTCAGTATAAACATATGGATAATAAATCAAGTGATTTTTAAAATTTTGCAAATATTAAAATTCTCATTCACTATGCAAGCGGTATTTAAAATTACACTGCTGCTTCATTTATGTGCAGCATAACTTATTTCCTGCTGTTCTAAATCAAGTTAGTCAGATTATTCTCAAGCATAAATTACATTTAGGGAGTAATTTAGGTACTTTGAGACATACTTTAACACTTTCAGGCCATTAAGGTGGTGCTGAATTCTGTGAAATAGATTTAAATAAATAACACCCTAGTAGCCTTCTGACATAATCCATTGTGGCTTTATACTTAAGGTCTGCAAACTCAGCACTGGGCTGCTAAGTACTGCCTCCTATATATTTCATCTTTGATTAGGTGAGTGGGAGGGTTCTTGGCTAAAGTCTCATGGTCCAAATTAGAGGAGCTGATAAATATAAGTTAAATCAGTCATTTGTCCCAAACCATAGTACCTTATTCACCTTCCCACACCCCCACCCCTGATCCCAGCTTCCCCAGTAATCCAATTATTTAATAAAACCTAAGTTATGCAGATAACACCACCCTTATGGCAGAAAGTGAAAAGGAACTAAAAAGCCTCTTGATGAAAGTGAAAGAGGAAAGTGAAAAAGTTGGCTTAAAGCTTAACATTCTGAAAACTAAGATCATGGCATCTGGTCCCATCTGCCACTTCATGGCAGATAGATGGGGAAACAGTGGAAACAGTGGCTGACTTTATGT